CCAGGTTCTTCATCTGTTAAATGGGGTAATGATTCCAATTCCCAGGACTGGTATGTGGGAAACCCGCACCATGTGTGCACCATTCAGTCCATGAGAATAAAGCTGGACCATAAGCCAGCCCCCCTGGAAGGTCTTGTAACCTCAGCGCAGTCCTCCTGCCTCTTCGCCGCGGCAGAACTTCCCTCCCAGCAGGTCTGGAGGTGCCTGCCCCCCTGTTCCTACTGGTCATTGGCTGGTGATGCAGAGAGGCAGCTGGTCGGGCTGAGGGAAGCAGTTCCAGGCTAAAGCAGGCCAGAGTCCGCCAGAATCCTGCCTGGTGTTCCCCGGAAAGGCCAGGGCCCCTGCTCCTGACCACAGTCCGCGGTGCACCTGTCTCTCGGGTACAAACGAGAGTCTGGTCCTCCTGCTCCAAGTGAAGGCAGTGGTTCCCTGGTGGGTGTCTTTTCACCTCCAGGCCTTCGCACGCGCTGTCCCCCCACCTGGAATGCTCACTCCCCACTGGCGGACTCCTCCACATCCAGAGCCCAAGTTAAATGTCCCTCCTCAGAGAAGCCCCCCTCCGCTGGGATGCAGGTGCTACTATTACCCCGTTTCACAGACAGGACTCTGAGGCTCAGAGAAGGAAAATAAATAGATTGGAACCCCGTCTGTCTGACCGGCACCCAGTCTCTGCCGCCAGCCTGTCTCCCGAGAAGTGTATGAGATCCGTGTCTCCCGCCTCCTGTTTCCCCATTCTCACAGTCCCTCAGGCAGACATGGCTCAGCCTCTCTCTGGTCTCCCTGTCTCCAATTCCTCTCCCACTCACTGACCTCCCTGGCTGCAGAGGCCCTTCGGAACCACAGATCTGACATGTCCCTTCTTTGCCTAAAACCCTTCCGTGGCTCCCTATTGCCCAATCCAGGCTGGCATTGGAGGCTGCCAACTCCTCCAGACTTATCTCCTGCTTCATCAGATGCAAGGGCCTTACTGAAACGCTCCCAGACAAGCTTGCTCTCAGCTCCAAGTCTTTGGCCATGTGACCCCCTCTGCCTGGAACGCCCTCTTCCCTGGATCTGGAAAAACCCTGGTCCTTTTTGCCCTTGGCTTGGCTGTCACTTTTACTGGAGAGAAAATAGGGGTTAGTGTCTTCTTCCACATCCTTCCCGCTCCACTGTCATCCCCAGCCTCCTACCCACCGGGGTCCCAGAGGCTGTGAACTCCCCAAGCGTGGGGACCATGACTAATTCATCGCCAGGCTCTAGACTGAGGCCAGGCCCAGAGCAGGGACTCAGCAATTAGCCGTGAGGTGACTGGATGTGTCGGAAGTCTGACTGCCGGCTTTGCATCCTCACTCCACTATGTACTGGCTGGGCGCCCATGGACTTGTCCATCAACTCCCCGTGTGCCTCAGTTTCCTCATCTGTGCAAGGCTGGTCACAAAAATGCCCACTCGTAGTGTGGGGGTGAAATGAGCTCATACATGGAATCGCTTGGCACGGTGCCCGGTGCTCAGTAAAGCACGCCCGTTAGAGTGCAAGAAGGAACAGGCGGTGGGCAGCTGCACGTGTGGGAGCGTGGTCCAGGCGGGCACCTCCTGCAGGACCGCCCTGGCTGCTTCACACGCTCGAGGCAGCCCTGCCACTGGCTGAATCCTTTCCCACCGCTGCCCTGTTGAGGCCAAGGTGGCCAGTGGAATTTGAGGCCAGTGGACACAGACAGGAAAAGGCAGCGTCGCCAGCCTCGGTGTAATCCAAACCAGATGCAGCCGCAGACCCATGGGGTGGTCACTGTGGGCCTGGCCAGGGCCCAGAGGCAGGAAACGGTCTTGGAGGAACAGCTCTCTGGGCTGGGACCAGCCAGGAGGCGCGGTCCCACCGAGGCTGTTAACCCTTCCGAGCCCACAGGGGGGGCCAGGGCACGGGGCAGAGGAAGCTGGTGGTTCTGGCCCCGTGAGGCACAGAGCACCCTGCAGGGAAGGTCACAGCATCAGCCTTGTGCTGGGCACCATGCAGGAGGCGCCCACACACCAGGCACCATGGCGGGCAGGGCACCCCAAGCAAGGGGCAGGGGACAGTCATAGCCTAGCACTCGGGACTTGTAGCTTTGGCCCTGGCCTGTCCCCAGCCGGCAGGCCCAAACCAGCTGAGGGTTCATTCCCTCCATAAAGTGGCTCCTCAGGGGGAAAGGCTTCTCCCGCCTCCCCCAAGGCTGCTGGGATGGGGCTCCCACCTCCCCCGAGGCTGCTGGGGATGGGGCTCCCACCACCCCTGAGGCTGCTGGGATGGGGGCTCCCACCACCCCTGAGGCTGCTGGGATGGGGGCTCCCACCACCCCTGAGGCTGCTGGGATGGGGCTCCCACCGCCCCCCCCGAGGCTGCTGGGATGGGGGCTCCCACCCCCTCCAGGCTGCTGGGATGGGGGCTCCCACCACCCCCATGAGGCTGGTGGGATGGGGGATCCCACCTCCCCCGAGGCTGCTGGGGATGGGGCTCCCACCACCCCTGAGGCTGCTGGGATGGGGGCTCCCACCACCCCTGAGGCTGCTGGGATGGGGGCTCCCACCACCCCTGAGGCTGCTGGGATGGGGCTCCCACCGCCCCCCCCGAGGCTGCTGGGATGGGGGCTCCCACCCCCCCGAGGCTTCTGGGATGGGGGCTCCCCCCCGAGGCTGCTGGGATGGGGGCTCCCACCTCCCCCGAGGCTGCTGGGATGGGGGCTCCCACCTCCCCCGAGGCTGCTGGGATGGGGCTCCCCCCTTCCCCGC